TCCAGGGACCATCTGGGTGGTGAGAATATCTCCATGCATGTTGGGCCTGGATGGCATTGCAGTGCTCACGCTACAATGGACTGACATTCCTTACACCGAAGAAAGACACTTACCAACAACTTCTCTCCTTCATGACCTGAGGAGCTTTCAGAGATCTTCCTTGTGTGCTGTTGTTTCTTCTCTTTCCCTTTCTTGGTCCCTGCTCCGCCTGACTGTCTCTTCAGCCCTGTCCCTGCATCTTTGTCCACAGCCATGAACCTCAGAGCATTGACCTGTAGCAGCACATCATAACAGTGCAGGCCATTAAATATATTCCTACCAATAGGACTGAGCAGCCATGATTTTTTCAGTAGATTCTGAGAGGGGTGCAAGCAAAGAGGCTCTGCAGAAGGCATTGCCGGGAGTTAAGCCTGCCCAACATGCTCCTGGGAATGCTGGTTATGTTACCCTGTGTTCAGCAATCTCTTCAAAATTTACTGTCCTTAATAACATGAAACAATTTCTCAAGAGGGAGTGTCAATAGCAACAACTGTCAACAGAAGGACAAGGGGATGTGAAAGCTGTCACTGTTTCCTGCTTGGCTTTGGAGAGAGCAGATTCAGTAGAGTCAAGCAATGTCAGCACATGGCTGTCCTTGCTGTGCTTCCATCTCTCACTCCATCAGTGGAAGACAATCATCTGAGGCAGGCAAGGAGCATGGCTGAGGACAAGGACAGGGGGCTGAGAGATGCCTGTTCAAGGGACTGTTTGCAGCCTGTAACCAGTGACCAGTTACCAGTAGCTGCACATTAGGGATAAACTGGAAAACAGACTGTATTAATCCCTTACAGTAAATTTTATCAGGAAAGCTCTGGCAGAGGTTGACCTTGGTCAGAGTTAAAATACTCAAAACGTACTACCAGGGCCCCAAGTGAGAGCAGGAATATTGTGCTATTCCATCCTGGAACATCGGGATCAGCCAGAGACCACCAACTCCCTGGTGGGGGACAGCTTGCAAACAGCAAAGAGGGGTTAGAACTGCAATTAGTCTGTGTGACAACTGTGACCTTCTGTCACCACCCTAGGCTCACCCAAATCCCCCTTCCTCTCTCTCTTGCACAAAGCTGAGCTGAGGGATAGGGCTTACACATGTGACCAACTGCCTGTCAGCCCCAGGGAAAAACAGAAACACAGCCACAGCAACGGACAGGCCTGTTTATGGGCAGGCCTGTATATGGACAGGCCCAGACTATTGGTTGGCAGAGCTTGGCTGGGCTGTGAGCAGGGAAATCGAGGACTCTGAGAACGGTTATGGGATTTAGCAGTGGCCAGTTCTCATCTTGTGGTCAACACTGACACTGACAACCCATCAGAGCACAAGGAGACTTAATGTTATACTATGGGCAGTGAGGTACAGTGCAACCCGAAGTATGGGATGAGGGAAATATGGAACCTGTTCCTTTGATCTCTCTGCCTAAGCCATTTTTCTCTTCTTCACATGTCTCCACTCAAGGATATAAGATTCAGGTAATAAAAAATTTAATTAAAGATTTATGGCTGACACTTCATGAGCCATCTCATATTTTCCAGTCAGGGAAGAGCTCTAGAAACTCTAGAAGAAAGCAACTGGGCTGCAGTTGTGGCCAGACTGCTCGCGTCAGCAAGGACGAAAGGTAACAAATCCTCACCATCTCTATCCTCCACTTATTGTCTCTTTCCACTCCTGTGCTCAGAAGGATGCTTGCTCAGAACACAGTCCTATTTTTTGTTTTGTTTGTTTGATTAATTGTGCTTATCAAAGCTCTGGCCCATTTTGCCTTTGAGGTGAATGTCAAAAGTCAAGAAAAAGCAATGAAGGTGGAGGCAGCAATGGGCAGTATGTAGTGTCGGATCTGCCCTGTTATATTCCATGGCTTGTGATGCTTTCTTGCACCCATTTTTGGGCTCTGTTGCTCAGTTCTTTGACACTCTTAACACCTGATATCACAGGAGCATCAAGTAGGAGCCTTGTTCAGAAGACAGTGCTACAAGAGAAGTCTGAGGAATACAGAGGATTAGTCTTTCTCTAACTTTCCTAATAAACCTAAGGCACAGTCCTCGCAATGTTTTAAGTGGGAAGAGATGGAAGTAACAGAGTGTCAGACTTGACATGACAGACGGTAGAAGGAAGATTATATGTTGCAAGCTTCTAGAAATGAGCACAGCTTAACTGGAGAGATCCTGAAAGCTGAACCTATTTTCTGCCTATTGTCACAGCATGAACCAGTCTAATAGTGTGACTTTCCTCAGTCTATCTATAGAAGGGAGAGATGGCTCTGACCACAGCATCCAACCATACAGACCACATGTGCTCCAGAGCCATGGGATGCATGCACTTGGGCATCTGGAGCTGTGTTCACACTTCTTGTTCTGCAGTTGCTGCATCCAAAATTCACACAGTGCAATGAGCTCTGTAATTGACCAATTTACCTCTTCATTCCATCTCAGAGAGGAGTGAAGTACCAGGTCTTTCCCTCCCCTTTGCAGTCACCTGATGCCTCTTTGGGGACGACACCAGATCTGCCCCATACCTTGTGCCTACATTAACTGAAGTCTTGCCCTTTTACTGCACCAGGCACTCAGCCAGCCTTCTTGCAGAAAGCAGCAGAGCATGCAAAGGGCCAGCGTGTCTGCACGCAGCTCCGTTCCATTCGGCCTCTCGCAGCAGCTGCTGTGGGGGTGATGGGGACAAGTAGATCTTCTTTCAGATCCCCTGTGGATAAGCTTCAGCGGGTCTGCTTATTCATTGATTTAAGAAATCCAGCTGCAATTACGAGTGAGCCACTGGTAAAAGAACCCAGGCTGGGCATTTGGATCCAGGCACGTCTTTGGCCACGGTACAGGCTGCTGTTCTTGTTCATTGTAACTCTGTCTGCACCAACATCAAGAGCTTGGTGCAGTCACAATGCTGATTTCATCACTAAGTTGTATACTGCACAACTTTCTAGCAGCAGAAACACCTTCCATCAAAATTTCAGGACTGCAACAATACCTTCTTACAGTTTCAAGCAATGGTCCCACTATGGTTCTTTGCTAAATTGTCTCCTGTTTCTACTTTGCATGTAAATGGTACCATCTCCAGAATTTCCCTCCAAGGTATCAAACCCTGATCATTTGCTCCTACTTCCTGCACTCCTATTTAGATTCCAGCAGGAATCTTGCTAGATATCTTTGCTGGAGATTTGACCACCTTGTGTTCTGCATCCCGTTCAGACCTGCAAGGGACCCATCAGTGTTTTTGGCAGAATACCACAATGAGAACTCACACAATCTTATGTTTCCTCTAGGTATTGCAAAGATTTTTGTGTGCTTTTCAGGAATCCTTGTACAAGTATGATTTTTATTCCTATGTGCTCCTACATGAACACATTTCTTCTATCTGCAAGATAATGCATTTTGTTTGAATACACCCATTTTACAATCTTATAGGGTGAGTGACCTGTTTATCAGTCTATTCAGTTTTGTGTTATCTGTAGGTTATCTGTAGTGGTTTTGTATATAACTTCAAATCACTGGTTCAAGAATTGATAGTTCTCATTCTATTACTAATCCCTGCAGAAACCAACCAAAATAATCAAAGACCATTCCCAATTATTTCTTCTCTAAATTGCAAGTTCTCAATTCTTCATATACTTTAATGACTTTGCATGGTGTATTGTTTTAACTAATACAATGTACTATAATTTTATTTATATCAATAAGTCACGCCTTACAAAATTTTGCACCATAAGGCTATGGATTTACTTTAACAATCACAACTTTATCAAACACAATTTTCAGGTAGAACACCAAGGGTTGCATTCCACAAATCGATGTTTCTGATCTTTAGTTCTCTTTCAATAAGCACCTCTATTAGATCCTGCATTGTTTTTTCACTGGATAGGCATTAGCTACCTGGCCTGTACATCCCTTGGTCTTAGAAAAGGTGGGATGCTAGGTAACACATCTTTAAAAGTTATATAATCACTGAAAATGAAAACTGAGCTGAAGACATTTCCAACAACAGCATTGTGATTTGAGCTGGAAAGAATTACCAACAACAGTTCCCTGAGGAAAAAGGTAGGAAACTAAGAAGAGCTTCTAACTCCTAATTCTCTCTTTGTTAACTTTTTCCAATACTAAAATGTACGCCTACAGAGATTAGGATTAGGAGAGGGGTGTTGATGGGGATGGGGTGTGGTTGTAGAGATTATAAGAAATGGGAGAAGGAAGGTCTGTCTTCTAGAGGGAAAGGCAGGAATCAAAGGATCGTAGACAATGTTCTCTTAGGACCTGAAAGCTGAAATGGGAGGTATTCTTGGGCTGCCACTGGAAGTTCTTCCTTGGGTCTGAAGGACTTGGGTTAGGAGGAAGGATGAAGTGGTAGTAGATGCTGGAACAGAAGGGCTCTGGCTTTGTGAGGAGGGAGTAGTCCAAGTAAAGGAGGGTTAGGATTGAGAGCAAGGCAACAGTGTAAAACTGCTGGGAGGAATCTTCATAATTGTTTTAATGGATAAATTAATGTTCCCTGCCTGTGATTATAGCTCCTCTGTTATCCTTTCCCAGCAAAACCCCGACAAACCATCCTCATATTTTTTTGCACTTTGGCCACTCATGGAGGGAGAGGGGTGAATCGTGCTTCATCAAGGATGACAATGTTTGCAAAAGGATGTTTTCTTGAATAAAAGGAACTAGAGGAGGAGACTCATGAACCAGCTAAAGTGTAACTTCAGCTGTTAATAACCCACTATCATCTGCTCCTCAACGGAAGGAAATGGGAAGAAATATATAAAGACATCACCTGTGGTTCCTTGTATCTCCTTCCTGTTCACAAAGGAGGTCTTTCAGAGGGAAAATCCTATGGAGCAACCTATGTGTTTGGTATTAAGAAACTTTACAAGAAGAAAATAAAGCAGAAAAGAGAATTCCAAGCAGTTGCAATCACTGTAGAATTAACAGCACAAATGTCTTCAGAGATAGTGAGAGGAGTAGGCAGCAAAGAAACAGATATAAAATGTATGTCTAACTCTGTTGGGAAAATCTCCAAACAGTTAATGCAAGAACACATGATGGAGGCAAGGCACAGATCTGTAATGCTACAGTTCTCACTCACACCTAGCTCCTATCCACCCTTTTGCTCTGCTCATTTCCTTGCAGCACCTTGTGAACATTCTTCTATGTCACTTGCTACTAACAGTCCTTCCTCCAACACCCTGCCACAGTGGCTCCCACCATCTTCTCAGCATCATCATCAGTCCTCAGATAACATCCACCATGATATGCTGAGGGCTCCCACCACCTCCATCTCACATACCTGAAGCCACCCCTCAAGGGCCCTGGTGGTGTCAGACAGCCCCTGCCTCTAGCAGTTTGTCCTTAGAAGGCCACTGGCATTGTCATACCTATGCTCTCCCACAGCAAACAGATCCCCTGCAGACATTTTATTGCAAGAGAAGAAGAGCCACACGTGGAAACAAAGATATCTGCTCTATTTCAAAGGTAAGGCAGGTTCTGCATCCCCAGAAACCACCTTGGAGTCTCCAGTGGCCAGGATACAAATTGATGCTTCACACATGAAGCATCATGTGTGAACATCTCTCATCTGTGTGAGAAAGGAAATATTTTCAAGTCCCAAGGAAGGAGGTGGCAATGGGCAATGCTGAGCCTAGAGTGAGGACCATCTTGGGGAAGGAGCTTGGTTCCATGATGGTAGGGATAGCGCTGTGGAGAAGTTGATCTCTGGGTTACCATGGCATCTCACAGCCACACTGCTGGAGGCCCACTATGATGCCCTCAGCCCCACAGCTCATTGCAGGGTGACCTCCCTCCCCTGTGGGGAGCAGGCTCTAGGGCTTCACAGCAGCCTCCTCACTGCGCCCCTCATCTTGACGCCAAGGGCAATCGACATAGCGCAGAGCTCCACCAACAGGACAGCGCTTGGCAGGATCCAGTGCCAGCAGGCTCCGCAACATGAGAGCAGCCTCAGCTGTCAGGCGCTTCCAGTGGCGAGGCAGGTTCTCTTCCAGGCCCGTTTCCTGCCACAGCATGAAATCCTCAAAGAAAGGGTCTTTGGGCAGGCTTTGCTCCCAAGGGAAATAGCCAGTCAGCAAGCAGAACAGCAGCACACCAAAGGCCCATGCATCCATGCTGGCATCTATGGGCACCCCCTGGGCATCAGTGGTGTTGCTTAGTTCAGGGGCAGTGTAGGGGATTACTCCAGCCACCAGTTTGAGCTTGGTACCCTTGGGCCGTGTAAGCCCAAAATCAGTCAGTTTGATGCGCCGGCACTCAGGGTCAAAAAGCAGCACGTTCTCAGGCTTGACATCACGATACACAAGCCCCCGGCTGTGGATGAACTCCAGAGCACTCACGAGCTGCTTGGCACAATGCTTGGCAGCTGGTTCAGGGATCCCATCCTGCAGAGGGAGAAAGATAAACAATGTTGCACTTGCACAGCACCTAATCAGTCCTGCCAAGGTGCTGGGCTTTCATTTTTGCTCTCCATTAGGGAATGTCTTTCGAGTTTCTGTTCTTGCAAGCTCCAATCTTGTTCAAAGCTGTAGATCTCAGAAGTGGAAGACCCACATGCCATTGACTTTCTCCCTCTGCCCCAGCCAGTCTGCAGAGGCCAAACACTGCCACCCCAATTCCCATCTTTTGTAGCAGCACTCACCCTGGGTTTGATGATTGATATGAGGTCTTTGTGCATTGCTGGTTCATAGAGGAAACCATAATATTGACTGGATTCGATTGCAATTCCAAACATGCCAATGATAGCAGGGTGGGTGGCAAGGGAGAGTGCCACACAGTACTCATACAAGAAGGTGTGCAGCTTGGTACTGGCTTTGGGCAGCAGCTTGAGAGCCATAGGAGTTCCTGGGGATGGGAAGAATGAGTTAGATCTCCCCTGAAAGTCACTCACATCAAAACCAGGCAGAGAGAGCACTGGGCAGAAATGGGCCTAGAAACTCATAGGGGCCACAGGGATCTCTGGCCAAAAGTTTTATATTGAGGTGTGTCATACTGGGACCAGATAAGAAAACAGATACTGCTGTTCATGTGAGTTTTGAGCTATTCAGTTCATGCCATAGGAACAGTGGGTACGGGAAGAGAAATTCAGGCTACATTAATTCGTCAGTTCAACCTGACACTCCTGGAGACGAGTACTCTCAATGCTCTGAGGGCATTCATAGGCCTTAATGGCCTTGACCAGTCCCACCTTAGACCTTCACCCACACCATGGCGATCCGTGGGCCCAGAAGAACAACTTAAGTTCAAGCCCAGTGCTTCACTCCCTGCCTATGCTGTGTTGTTGGGGTGCTGGTTTCTAGCTGTATGATATCCATGCCTATGCATGTCCATGAGACCTGATGGTCCTGACCACTGGACTGACTTCCCAGCTTGCCCTTGGGCCTACCTCATCATCCCAATCTTGCCTGTTGCTCTGGGCTGTTCCCCCATCATTACCTACCTCCTGGCTGTGTGCAGTGGGAAGGTCTCTGTCCAAAAGGCCCCTGCCCTGTTGGTTCCCTTGGAAATCCCCTGACACTCCTGGCACCAAACACCCAAGCCCCCATCAACCCACACATGTGGGCAAGTGGAGAGGAGACCAAGAGCAACAGCTCACAGGTGCAGCCAGTTCCTTACCTCTCTGCCTGTGGGTCACTAGCATCACATGGCCGTACTTGCCCCTGCCCAGCTCCCGAATAACCTCATAGTGCTCAGCCACCTCAGTGCGCACCAGGCTCTGAGCCGTGATCTCCAGGAGCTCCTCTAGCATGGTTGGTGCTGCTGTCGGTGCCACTGCCACAGCTGAGTTCTCAGCCATTGCTGAGCTCTGCAGAAACACCAAATCCTGAGTCAGAAACAGAACAACACGCACAGAGCAAAAATGGATCAGACATGCCAGAAACTATACCATGGCAAGGGATATTTCTGCTACATGGATTCTGGGTACTCTCTTGGCTGTGCTAGGGTTGAGTTGGTGTTTTTTTAGAGTGCATTTCTAGGCAAAGGCTATCACCATATGGAGGGCCCATGTACTGAAGGAACTTCTAATCCTTTCTGGCCTCCTGCCAAATGCTCATCTCTCTCTAATTGTAGGCCTCAGGCCTCTCATTTCAAATACTTGAACTGTCTTGCTGTATAGTACAGACTGGATACTGGCTTTCCAGGCTTCTTTTTATTCTATGCTCTATGATGTTCATTAGTAAGTAAAACATCAACAGCGTTCCAGATTGTGAAGCAAGACCCAACTCTCCTGCCCTCCTCAGCCTACTGCAGACACCATGTCTTTCTACACTGAGCCCAGCCCTTGTGCTTACTGAAGAAAAAATTTAAGGTAGAAGCACAGATGGACTTGCCTTAGACAGAGGCACAGATAGCCCATGATAAAAAAGCAACGATCAAATGTGGTATGCATTGAGTAGGCAAAGGGATCTCAGTAACTCATGTGTCTTCTGACATTTCTGACCCAATTCACTCATCTGTGCAGCCAAGAAACTTAAGCAGGAAGGAAACTTGGACAATCAGTACCATTTTGTGCCAGAACCAAATGGTTCAGACACATTTCAGAGAAATATTTTTTTGTTTGTTTTCTGTTCCCCTAGCATACTACAAAGGAACTTTTAAAAGTATCAATGGCATCATTCTCCCACAGTCTATACTCTGTTCTGAAAATAAAGACTCTGTCATGCTGGTCCTGGGAAACCCTCCGAGTTTCAGTTTCAGGACAAGGTCACAGAACCACAGAATCACAGGATGTTTGAGGTCAGAAGGGATCAAGTGGGTTTTGAATATCTCCAAAGATGGAGATACCCCAACTGCTCTGGGCAGCTTGTTCCAGTGTTTAATCACTTTTATGGTTAAAAAGTTTCTCCTTGTGCTTATATAGGAATTCTGAGTTTGTTTCTGCCCGCTGCCTTTTGTCCTGTCACACAGTACCACTGATAAGACTCTAGACGTATCTTTTTTATACCCTTCCATCAGGTAAGAAGATCCCTTCAAAGATAAACTATTCCAGCTCCCTGAGTGTCTCTTTGTATGAGAGATGCTCCAGTTCCTTAATAGTCCTTGCAGCCCTTTGACTTTCTCCATTACATCCATGTCCCTTTTTTGCTGGGGAGCCCAGAATGAACCTAACCTGCTGATGTGGCCTCACCAGTGCTGCACAGAAGGGAATCATAGAATCATAGGATTGCTCAGGTTGGAAAAGACCTTAAAGATCATCAAGTTCAACCACAATCTAACCATACTACCCTAACTTTAACAACCCTTTGCTAAATCATGTCCCTGAACACCACATCCAAACAGTTTTTAAACACATTCAGGGATGATGACTCAAGCACCTCCCTGGGGAGCCTATTCCAGTGCTTAACAACCCCTTCAGTAAAGAAGTTTTTCCTGATATCCAACTTAACCTCCCCTGGGAAGTATCACCCCTCTGGAGCTGCTGGTAACTGCCTACTGCAGCCCAGAGTGCAACACAAAGCCTGAAGGTTGCAACATTCTTGGACCTCTTACTGTGCAGTGAGACAGAGATGCAGTGTAAAACCATACACTCAAAATCTCTTTCTATGTAACATTCTGACTAACATGAAACCTTTAAGGAAGGGAGTAGGATCTCAAATTGTTATAAAGGCTGATGGCATCCTGGGAATATGAGTGGGAGTAGAAAGAATGTAGCATTTTCTCTTAGATTTTACATTGCTCTACCTGCAACCAGAGCTTATTGCAGTTCCTTCAATTTCTAGCCCCCAGTGCTGCGAAATCTGTAGAGTCCAGTAATGTAGAAACATAATTATTAAAGAGAAAAGACTGGATTTCTACAGGAGCATAGGACTGCCTGTTCCCCTTCATTTCCCTTCCCTTCTCACCTAGAGTATGTATTGTTAAATGCAACTCCTAAGTACCAAGTGATTGGCCCTACATTTCTGAACAGGCTTTGGCTTAGTGAGAGAGCCAATAGCAACCAAAGTTAGCACAGTCCATGGGATATTCAACATTGAACAAGTGTGTGCCTGGGAGGGGATAAATGAAGGGTTGGGAGACAAAGTAAAGTCATTCTGGAAAGTATTTTAGAGATTTGGCTTTGATGTCCTCCTGTTTGCTGTTCAGCCATTACAGCCTGTGAAACTGCATACAGCAAAGGCATTGCAGAACCTGTCCATGTATCCACCATGATGCTGACACTTTCAAACTGCTGTTGTCATATTTAGGCATTAAAAGGAATATGTGAGAAAGCCTTTTAAAGAATCCTATCTAGGAATATATAGAAAAAAAAAATAAATTAAAATGTAATAGACCTTTAAAGCACATAGTCTTCCCTGTGATATTAGATAGGCTAATGTCGTACTACCTAGGGAATGGAGTAACAGGAAAGATATCAGCTTGCCTTGTTAGATTTATATTTCTGATAAAGCATAAAAAGATTTCTTCTGATGACAGTATTTCTCCTATATCAAATTCATGGTCTTATACAATTTCTTGTCAGCAAATGGTTTACAATCTTCTCAGATAACTTAATTTCTCAACTTGACTTAGATAAAATTTCTCCCCCTGAAGGCTGGCCACCTGTTAGCACTATCTAATCCAAAGACTGGAATCTTATCATTGCATCCACTTAATGAGTCATTCAATAGTGATATAATTTTCAAGCACATATATATTAATTTATCAGTTTTTATTATCATCAATTATTTAATATATGATTCAACTATTCTATTAATTATATAATTTTCTCATATTCACTATACCATATCTTGCTCTCGTAAATGAGAGGATATGCTTCTTTGGTTCTCACTCCAGCTCTCAAAGTCAACATATTTCAGTTTGTAAATTCTTCAGATGCAAAGCAAAGAATCAGTGAAATAGCCAGTATGGAAAAGCAGATCAGCTAAAATTGGCTTTAGGGACGATGGCAAACCCATATGTCTGATCAGGATTCCTTAGAAATCAACTGCATTCACTATAGAACAGTTTGCAGGATTTGGCCATTGCTATCCTTGAGGTAATGCTGACGTGAGTTTGACATTTCACTAGGAAGTTAAGTGTGGGCTACATTTGGGCCGCCAGTGAGTACAGTGTGCTTGGGTACTTTGCATATACCACTGTTACCTTCTAGAATGCTGTTTGCCCTTTGCTGAGTGGTTAGATTTGGACAGGAGGCCTTCAAGGCACTGGCCAAGATACACTCACCATTTGGCTGGGGTATACTGAAGGCAGCAGGCAGATCCCTTTTCAAAACTGTTCTTTCCTCCACTATCCTTCCCGTGCTTCAAATCTGTTTTACCTCGTTCAAGTGGAATTCCTTGTTTTAATTTGTGCACATCTTCCTGGATCCATCTTTGTCATTGCCTCCCATTAGGTATCTGTATAACTCTGAGACTCCTCTTCTCTGATCAGAAGACTCTCAGCTTTCTCAGTTTCTCCTCATAGAAAAAGTCCTCCATTATAAATGTCCCTGAGCATCTGGCATGTTGGGATCATTTTCTAGTCCAACCTTCTACAGAGCATTAATACAAACCAAATAAACAACAGCATTTGGGGCACCTCCATCGTGCATGCTTGATCCAAAGGCAAACTGTGATTGAGTGTATTATGTATTTATATGATATCCTAATTTGAATTTACCTGCCTGATGCTGCTATCTAGAGAAAAGTTTTCTAGTGTCCTTCCTTCTGACCATTGCAGGGTTTAGAGACATTGTGCTCAGAGATATGGCTACAGCCTATGAAGACACATATTTAATCTACTTAAATTGAGTAAAAGCAGCAGGGCACAGCCTGAAACTCAGCCTGTGTATTTAATCAACACCTTGCATGGGCTTCACAAAGCATTTGTCACATTGTGCTTCTGCAATGTCTACAACAGTTAGTTTAAAAACAGGGAGAATATTTCCTGAAATTGTAGTCACACTGTACTTTGAGTAAGCAGATCAGATCAAGACACCTTTAAGTCTCTTTATTCATTAGCCACCTTCCAACAACTTTCTGTCCAGCTCTCAAAATACGACCTTTTCTCCAGCTCCCAGATCCATTTTTACAGCTCTTATCTAAAACGTCACCAGATTTGCTGCTCCATCTTATAACACAGACTGCTTCTGTAGGAATGCTTCCTCTGAAACATTGAGCCAAAAATACCTTCTGCCTCTTCCTCTGACATCTTTCCCCAGACATCTTTCAGCAAGAACAATGCACTAAGAGTTGCACTACCTTATAAATCCATTATGATTCCAGCACTTTTCCACATTACTTTCTTACAAGGGAACAGCTCTGCTTTCTCTTCACATCCCTTTCAGAGTATTGCCTCCTTTGTTTCTACCTGAGCACTTTCCCCTGCCCACAGTGAAGCATGTTTTGCTTGACTGGACTCAGTTATCAAGTAATTCATATCACTTAGTGTCGCTCTTACCAAACCATCACATTAATTTCTGTTTCAGGGTTGTGTGAGCAACTGACCTTCAGGGATTTTTCCATTAACCACTAAATCTTTGGTGGATGTCCTGAACCATTCTCAGCCTTGTGTTTTTTTTGTAAGGCACCTACTAGAAATATCCCACCCAGTGAACATTCTCTAAAAAATATCATTCTGGCATTGATCAAAATCAACAAGCCACACAGTTTTCAATGGATTTAAGAACAAGCAAACTTGCAAGACTCAGTAGAGTGGAAACTACCATGTTTTACTGTTGTCCTCATGTTACACATTTCATTAAATTTTGACTCCATTATAATAATGTTACCTTTGACAATGATCTTGAAAAAGCACTGAAATCATCAGAAAATGTTTTCTAATAACACAAAAATGGAGCTAGATAAATAATGTGTTGCTTGATAAAACGCGCGTGCACGCGCATGTCAAAAGTGTTATAAATTACCAAAGAAGACAGAAGTTCACTCTGGTATTGAAGGACAAAAAAAAGTTAAATGTCATGGTAATCAGATTAATCTAAACTCTCTGTGCCATTTTTTCAATAAAGCGAATGCTTTGTAAACTCATAAATGTAGATCTGCTATGCCCTCACTTCCTTTGTAGGCCTTAATGTGTTGGAAGATATAGAATTGCTTAAGAAATAGACTGCAGTTGATACAGATTACACCTGAGTGATACAGGGACAAGCATAAGAGAATAATGACTACAAGCTACTGATGTTACAGATTCAATTTTGCATTCAATTTGCTGAAGAGAATGTCCAGAGAGCATCAGAAGCATGAAACATCAAGGAGAGAGAAACTAGAATTTGCCAGATACTAATTTAAAAATTAAGCCCCACTCTAAACAAACAAAAAAGCAAAATCAACCAACCAAACAAAATGCAACCAAAACCAGATATAGCCATTCAACTTTACTTGTAGTTCTAATAAAAGAAGGTATCTATTGTGAGATTATATGCCTTTCACACTGAACTCTGTTTCTGCAAGGTTTCTACATGCATACGCCTTGAGACAGACTGAAACTTAATCTCTGAAAATCAGCTGAGTTAGGAAAGCTGTATTTCTAAAGAGCTGGCCACCTGCTAGTGACTTCTGCACTGAAACTGAGAATATTGTGCACCATCGGACTTGTGTTTTCATTAGAAATGCATTCCTTCAGTTCGCTCTGCTTTGCATTATTATTTATCTCCTTTTTTTATGGTGTTTTTTGGAATGTCAAAAATCTACTAATGTGAAAGCCTGGTTTCCCTAGGATAAATTTCCTGAGGAGTTCTGGAGGATGGCTGATGTCTGAAGGTCAACAGAATTAGTGATTGGATACTATCTTTTTAATGCTTTTGATGAGACCACAACTCAGCAAATTAACACTGCTGACCACATTTGACAGAAAAAAAGGATCAGAGAATAATCATGGGAAGAACCATGAGAATGCTGAAAGTACAGACAATTGCAGGGGAAACTGTCAGGGTGGTAGCTTTTTTTATCTTATTAAATAGATACTGAGAAAGTGACTTTATCTTCTGCACACACCTTCACCAGTTCTAGAAATTCACTGAAGACACTCTCTCACTAATTCAAGGCATTACAGCAGGAACCAATAACTGAAGCTGAAATGAGGTGGTTTTAGAGCTCAAGTGTGGTGCACATTTTACGAAGAAGGTCATTTACCCCTAAAAACCTCATCAAACATTATGCAAGATTATCCCTATGTATTCGGGATTCCTAACCCGAATTTGCTTTTTTTTTTTTTTTTCCCTAAAAGCTACCCTCAAGTGCAAACTGTGGATACACGCAAGGTACCACAACATTTTATCGCTGGGATTGTTTCTGGCCTTTTTGTTGATAGATTTATGAGCTGCTTTCTAAAGCAGGCCAGCAAGCTAGTCTCACTGAGGAGAACTGCTGGCTGCCTCCTTCTCAGCACTGTGCAATGCTCTCCTCAGGAACAGACCCCCCACAGACTCCCCACAGACAGCTCTGGGAAGTCCGAAACCACAGCCACTTCAGTCATGATCTCTCTGGGACCAAGCCACATCACACTCTTTTCCCAACCAACATGCCGGTACCGCAGCACTGTCGCACCAGACATAACCGCTGAGCAATCTCCCATAAGCAGAGCAACATTTTAGGGCACAGCTGCCCAAAGGACCTCATCACCAACCAGATCACGTTGAGCACCAAATGTCGGGAATGGGTGGCTACATGTTATGGCAGCACACAAAGCCAGAGACTGGTCCGTGAGGGGTGCCCAGCTGTGCCCCCTTACCTGCCTGTCCAGTCTCTTTCTCCTTACTATGACTGCAGCCCGTCTTCTCACACACCCTTTCCGTCTCCCCCAGGCCTCTCACCTTCTCCAGCAGTGCAGGGCAGACAGCCGTGGGCAGCCTCGACTCCCCCTCTGCTGCCTCTGGGCTGGGACCAGGCTGTGTCGAGCAGCCGGAGGGGCTGCCAGGCATTACAGGGCTGAGCGTGACGCTCCGCCCCTTCTTCAGCCTCTGGTCCAGGGGCACACCGCCCCAGGCTGAAGGTGACCTCTCAGTGGGAGGAGAAAAGGGGCGCTAGGGAGGAAAGGGGTTATCCATCCGCCCAGCTCATGGACAGGGAGGTGTCATAGGGATGGAGGTGGAGCTGTTTCTGCTCAAGTCAGATCATCACAAGCCCGTGGGATCCTTCAGCAGATCCACCCTTTGCGGACCTTCCCTCCAGCTTCGGCTGTCCCTACAGTTGAACAAGCAAAGGAGCTCTGGGGCCATGCCAAGTCACAGTACAGCCCACACAGCAGGGCTGAGGACCACTGTGGGTGGCCAGCACTTTCTTTTGGTCACCAGAGGGGAAGAAGGCATTTCGGTCACAGCTGCCTATGTCAGTGAGCATCAGAATCTAGGCACAAACTGTAACCAACTCAAGGCTACATCATGGGGCTTATGACACAGACTCCTCGCACAGACCAGTACTACAGAGAGTTACAGAAAAGGTGAAATTATTAATGGTAACTACAATGGCTTGTAGGAGTTCCATCTACGCTCAGTTCTTCCACCTAGCTGATATTCATGGAACTATAGACTATCCTGAGTTGGAAGGGATCCACAGGAACTTGAATCCAACTCCTGGTCCCTCAACAGGACTGCCCAAACCCTGTGTCTGAGAGTGCTGTTTAAACACTTGCTGAACTCCTGCACTTGGGGCCTGCTCCATGCCCACCGCCCTCTGGTGCAGACCCTCTCCCTCACCCCCAGCTGCCCTCCCCTGACACAGCTCCATGCCGTTCCCTCGGGCCCTGTTGCTGTCACACAGAGCAGAGCTCAGCGCTGCCCATCCGCTCCGTGTGAGGAGCTGCAGCCGCCATCAGGTCTCCGCTCAGCTCCTCAGCTCCTCTGCTCTGAGTTGAACAGAGCAAAGGACTTCAGCCACTCCTCATACATCTTGCCCTCTAAACAATTCACCATCCTCATAGCCCTCCTTTGGGTTCTCTCTAATAGTTTTATGTCCTTCCTATACTGTGGCACCCAACCAGCACGCAGTACTGGAGGTGAGGTTGCACAGCACAGAGAAGAGCACACAGGCTCTCCCCTCGCCCACTGGCAGTTCTGAGCCCGGTGTGGTTGCCTTTTGGGCTGCCAGGGCACACTGATGCCTCACATTCAGCTTACTGCCAGCCAGAACCCCCAGATCCCTGTCTGCAGGGCTTATCTCCAACTTTAAAGTGCTCTTTCTTCTACTTGAACAAGGACAGGAAAGAAACTCCTGTGGATATGGACACCATGCATGTCTTAGATACTGGCTGCAGAGAACAGAGTTTTACACTCTAGGAGATCCATCAGTCTGTGTATCTGCAGCAGTGATGAATGCAGCTGTGGTTGTGGCACAGGAGTGTCACAGTGCTGGCCTCCATGTTCTCTGGAGCTGGGACCATGTAAGGGATCTGAAAGGCTTAAGCTGCCCCAATGAGCCTCTATACCCACTGTGGGGACACAGTGTAGTGAGGAAGGCAGAAGGAGGGCAAAGGTGAAAAATGAAGTCTAACAGAAGACAGAGCTGAATCTTATGTCTGCTTTCTGAAGGGAGGGAAGGACTTGTCAGTATAGGCTCTAGTTGGCCTGTGGGCAGCAAGATAAGATGCACTGGAATGTTATCACAGACTGGTGAAGAGTCAGGCTGCTGTCACCTAGCTCTGATGGTGAAAGAAATGCAAGGGTAAGAGGAGTAGCATAGCCAGACTCCCAGCAGTCATCATGCTTCTGGATAAGAAGTGGGAAATGACGCATGGCCTAAAGGTCTTGTGCCACTCAAGGCTTCCCCTTCTCACTCAGGCTTGGAGGATGGTATAGTGATTGGGAAAGGCCTTCAGTGTTCCTACAGACAGGAACATTACTATTGGGGTGGTAGAAATATATAAGAGAAAATTATCCAATGTCCAAGGATTCAGCTCTGGAATAAATATAATAAACCACAGTTCCACAGGAAAAGGAATCTAGCTATCTGGGGAACAGAATAAAACCATTGCCTCCAATTGAGATACAAGTCAGAAGTCAAACTGAAAAGTGTCTCTGAGGATCTGCTTGAAGACAGAGTTACAAGGAAAAACTGAAAAAGGAACTCATCTGCACAGTCCTCAGGAAAAAAACTGTGAAGGTAAAAGGAAGAGAAAATATGGGAGAAGGAAGGATTTACAAGTGGGTATTAATGGCTCTTCTGTTCAGATGGTTTAATATTTTCTACTGTAAAAACTCCTTTACAATGTGTTTGTGCTTTGTGACGCACACAAATACTGTGGTTGATCAAAGTTATCTGAAAACATTACAAAAATGTCTCCTTCTTCACCTCTGAATTGTTGTTGGATTTACCAGCATGGTAAATATTCTTTCCCTTGTATGCGTGGCTCAGGAGGGGAGCATGCAGAAAAACAATGGAATATGAACATTCCCAAAAGCCAGATATGGCAGCTAGAGTCACAAAGACGTTGTAGTGACTTCTTCCTTGTTCCTCTTCACTGGCATATATACTGCAGCCCCTTTCACCCTCATCAGAATAGCAGCAGAACTTCAAAGTACACACTGTACACAACTTCAAAGCCTCAGGATTGAATTCCTATCAGTGAGTGCTCAGACAGCATCACTGCCTCTTCACAGATAACTCTGCCAGGCTTCAGCAAGTATGAAAAGAGCCACTGAGGGAATTGGCTGCTCCAACACATCACCAGCAGGATACTCAGTTTCTCTGGTATTGGCCCTAGTGTGAATGCTCCCTTTGCATTAGGTGGTGGGGTATGTACTCTCATTTCAGAGTTACCTGACCCCACATGGCTCTTCAGTTCCTTTTCTCTATCAAAGCCACCAAGAGCACATAGTGTGACAAAAGATTTGGTGAGTATTTGAATCCAAGACAGCACTCTTTAGCAACACAGAAGTATAGAGGCTTATCAGCAGGGCCACATGAGAGAGAAGGCTGATAAATATGAACATCAAGCTCCTTTTACCAGGACTGCTCTCTTTATGTTGAAGTTTGTGGCAATAGCCATATTGTCTATACATATTCAAACTGACAATAAACCTTTTCACAGAACATCACTGATGGTAGCTTTCAGAGCAACCACAAATACTTCATTACCAGCATGCAGTTTTCTCACATCTTTTCAGAACCAGCTTAGCACCTGACGCTGGAGTGTGAATAGCTCTTTGATTTTCCCCATTGCCTTCCTACATCTTCTTCTATTAATAAATTTATGAGCTTCCAACTCTTCCACTCCTCCAGCCCCAGTAGGCAGGCAAGGGGGTTACAAGGAGCCGGCTGCCTCATGAGCACAGAGCTGGGGCCCTGAGCTCTCCTCGGCACACGCAGGGTGCTCAGAGTCGTCCACCAGCTGCACAGACCATTTGTGCTATGAGGTCATTCAGCGCTACCCCATCGCTGAGGAATCTGCTGGCCACCTTCCTGACAACACAGCACAATGTCTCCCACCTCGCCTGCCAGCCAGCACAACACACTCTCACTGAGCTCAGACCCCACTCTCCACAGGTGCTTCTCAATCATGCTCTCCAGCATCCATGGCCTCTGGTCACCCACTGACCATCATGTCTGCCTGCCTGCACCCTGCCCTGTTCCATTCCAGTCTCCTCTATTTGAGCTGTCCTTCTCACCACTGCCAGCATCGTAAATGTGCCGTCAGAGCAGGATGAGTTGTCTGGGTACTTACTACTTAGAGACATCCTTGAGAGGGAAAGATTATGGGGAGTCTTTGCAGGAGA